CTCAACCATGAGTTTTCTAGCTTTTATCTTTCCAATTCTCTCCCTCATCCTATGGGTGAGGGAATCAGTGAGCAGCTGTGTGGGGTTTGGCTACTGCCTGGGGTTAAACCACAACAATTGTCAACTACAAAACTGTAAAACAACACCAGCATGCACTAAGGCAGCAAATGATATAAAACACGTGTCACCAAAGAACCAGGACCTATGTATAAAACATTCCTTTGCATATCATTATTAGAAATCCATGGATTTCATAGTGAATGCAACAGGTCCTGAGTAGACATCCAACCCAAAGCACTCACATTTTACAGTCTGTAGAAACAAAGCCTAGGAGTATTCTGAACTGACCTCACAGTAACTATCTGGCCTCCATCCAGGTCAATTCCATTCATCTGTGCAATGAAGATGGCAGCCACAGCTTCATAAAGGGCAGTTCCATCCATGTTGATCGTTGCTCCAACAGGAAGAACAAACCTTGTTACACGCTTATCGATGCCAAGATTTTCTTCAAGACACCGGAATGTGACAGGCAATGTTCCAGCACTGAAGGAGAGAAAGCAAAAAAGTAGAGAAGACATAATTACAATCAATATTACATATACACATTAGGAAGCAAAGTCAGAAATTCTATTACCATTGTTGACATTTTCTACTTCCACTTTCTGCTGTGAGTCAAACCTTTTTTAACCAAGTTTTAAACTAAGCCTACATTTAGCTGGAGGTGAGACTGAGGCCATGACTTGAAGCAGGATGAGAGCTTGAGAGAGCATGAATGAATTTTCAGGCTCATTTACAATTTATTTCTTGCATTTTATTCAAAAATACAAGTACCAGATGTTTTCTGATGGACAGAATGGTGAGTGTAGGGACAAATCTTTAATTTCTTTGCTTATGAATTTGCTTTCAATGGAGAAATCAGTGTGGCATTAATAAGGACTGAAAGAGCCAGGCAAAAAGATGCAACCCATGGAGTTCCCAGACACTGGAGGACAGGAAGAAAGGATATGAAATACATCTGGAATACAGGAAAAAAATCCAAAATATGGCTGGAAGAGGGGAAGAACAGCTCTTTGCACAGATCCACAGTGCCTTACTTTGCTGGAAATATTTCAGGCTAGTACATTTACTTGCTCAAAATCAAACACCTTCAATAAAACACATGCTGAAGTGGAAACTCACACACTTCAATGAACAAAAGCCTTAGGTAAATTGTAATTTGCTAAAATTCCTGGCCAGACTGTATCTCCTGTAATCCTACATTGTTTTTCACAGAGGCAAAGGATTACTGAGGTTGGAAGGCATCTCTGGTGGTCAGGCATCCCAACCTCCTTGCTCAAGGCATGGGCAGCAATGGCAAGTTTCCCAAGACCATGCCCAGGCAGGTTTAGTGTATTTCCAGGGCTGGAAACTCCACTTCTCCTCTGGGAAACCTGTGTCAGCATTCACTCACTGTCACAGTAAATCACAGTAAAGACATATCTCATGAGTTCAGATGGAATTTCTTGTGTTCCAGTTTGTGCCCACTGCCTCTCTTCCTGTCACTGAGCACCAATGCAGAGAGTTTCACTTCATCTTCTCTACATTGTCATATCCAAAATTTATGAACATCAGTAAGGTCCTTCAGAGCCTCTTGATCATCAGGGGAGAAGTTATTCAAGCAGTGTAGTTTGGGTTGACCCAAAGAGACAGATGAATTACAAGTTCTTTCAAGGCATTCTTGAAATCAAGAATACACAGTTTTCTCATGGTCAGTTTTGAACTAAACTATCTTTTTTTTGGTTTCACCTTTTTAATTTAAATAGAAGAAGAAATAAAACATTTATTGAAGAAAAACACTTGAAAATATGGTATTGAACTGAACAATACTTTCAACACAAGATCTACTGACTGCCCTAATGGACAGCACCAATTTTTGATGTTATTGAATTTATCGCTGAGAGCTGCATTACTTACACACTTTGTTGTGTCTGTTCTGTACATTAACAAGTCTAAAATGCTCAGCTTTACAATGAAGTCCCATTACTCTGCCAAAATGAGTACAAACTGAGAGCCTTTTTCATTTCTTGCTTGAAAACTAGCACTGTTTGCTCTTTTTTTTCCCTGAATGTAATGAGACTGGTCTTTCAAAATAAAGAGAATCATCACTTTTTCCTAGTTGAGAAAACAAGGACAGAGTTAACCTATTTTGCACGAGTCATTTGACTGATGCCAGAAAGGAAAACAAAAAGTGGGTCTCTCAGCTCTCTGCAGGTGGCTTTATAACCTCTCTAAATAATCCTGAAGGTGTCTGGTACTTCGATTTATTTCAACATGGCTGGATTAAAAATAGTTTTCATTCAATGGGCTAAAATGATCTCACAGTGAAGGTCAGAACAGCAGATGTATTATGCCTAAGCAGCAGCTAATAACCTGCTAAAAAGTAAAGCACAATGGTATATCTCAAGTGTACCTGGAAGCTGTGCCTAGTGCTGTGATCCATGCCTGGAAAATCCCAGCAAGGAATGAAAATGGGCTTTTCCTTGTTATCACAAAGTAGAGCAGAGGCAGGAAGATCCCTCCATGGATGAGAAGACCCACAATCACAGTGACCATGTACATGCCAAGTTGTCTAGCAACTACTTCTAAGTCCTTGATTGCAATGATTTTTCCACAGATGAGGCAAGCAATACCCAGAGGGGAATACCTGGAGAAAGAGAACAAGCATAGACAGAACTAGTCTGTGCAATATAGTCATAAAACCTGTGCTCAACAAAGTATAGACTGGAGAAAGAGCAGAGACCTCTCAGGCTCAACACTGAGGTGCAGATCAGGAATTTATGGAAATTCAATGGAGAGCTTTCCCATCAAATGGAATATGCATTTCCTGAATAGTCTCTGATCCTGGAATAACTTTGTAGAAGGATACTGTAATGTGACACAGGTTTGGATCCTTATGAAGAGTGGTGTAGCATTTGTTCTTATTACATAAATTTTACAGTTCACTGTTTATGTGGTTTCAGGGAGTTGCATTATTTACTTCAGCTAAACTATTTGGTGAAATGAACTGCTTAGATCTTGAAGGCTGCATATGTTTCCATTATATTCTTTTAATGATATAATAGAATAATAGAATTTTAGGGGTTAGAATGGACCTTAGAGATCATCTAGTCCCAACCCCCTGCCCTGGGCAGGGACACCTCCCACCAGAGCAGGTTGCTCAAGGCTTCATCCAGCCTGGATTGAACACTGCCAGGGTTGGGGCAGCCACTACTTCCCTGGGAAATCTGTGCCAGTGTCTCATCACCCTCACAGGAAAAAAACCTTTTCCTAATATCTAGCCTAAATTTCCCCTCCTTCAATTTGAACCCATTGCCCCTTGTCCTTTCACCTTGTCCATTTGGACAAATGCTTTTTAGTTTATGGATTCTTCATTGATTATGTGCTTTCATTACTTAGGGTAGGGTTTTTGTCCCCTCAGTCAAGTGATTCCCTGAAGACATAACAGGAACCTTTAAATAGGATGATTATGGTAGCACAGTTTGAGAATTAAAAAAAATAAAAATTAAATGAATGGATATTGTTTAAAATACTTAATAATCAGCTCTAGTGAAAAATGTCTAAAATATGTGGATATAAATCAATATTTGGACCTGCACCGGTAAAGGTTAATATATAATTCTGAGTGATGTTCACTTTATCTGTTTCAAAAAAATTAAGCTGGGAAAAATCAATGTAATGTGAAGAAACAGTAAAAAAACCCATTCTTTGAAAATAAATGATAACATATATTTTCAGAAGTGATTGGTGATTTGGATGCTTAATTAAAAACAATACAAGGGAACTGATTTTCAGAATGAAAGTGCTTCTGTTTTCTGTTAGAATATCTTATGATCTCTTGAGCAATGTGCCCAAAACATGGAAAGTCCTCAGTCACTGGAAATGCATGGCCAGCAGTTGTATCTGTTATCCTAAAATGTCATGTTTCAATGAACTTGATGAAATATAATCCTTATAAAGAATTACATGGTGTCAGAGCCAGATGTCTGATTTGTTTTGTGCTTGTGTAGCAATGTCATGTTCCTGAGAGTCTCTATGTGCCATGGGAGTTACAGCTCTCTGTGCAGAGAGATCATAAACCAAACAAAATAGAACTCTGCACAAAGAAATGCATTTGTCTTTATAAACACACAGAAAAGCACCTGCTTCTGGCCACAACAACTCTTCAGAAATTCTAGATGGGGATGAAGAAGTGGAATTCCCAACACCAATTTCCTTTTCTCATGAAAAGAGAAATATAAAGCAGATCAGTAAAAAATAAACATTTACAGTGAATGTCTTGAAACTTGAATGATTTCCTGCCATTGCAACACTGACTATTAGAAAAAAATTATGTTGTAGTCAGGTTATAATGTCTTGGGTCTAGCCACAGGTGCTAAGAAAAGGAAGAGTAAATTTTAGCTCCTGGAGTGCTATGAGACTATAATCACTTCTCTTTAGGGAGTTGGGAGCAACAGGTTGCAGTAAATATTGAAAGCTTTGTGAATAAAACCAGTGGTAGTTTTACACAGCAAGATCACCCACAGAAAAGCAGAAGCATAACAGGAATGCAAAGTCATTGCTTCAAGTTCTTCATGCTATACATTTCCACATTGCTGTTACTGTCTGCATCACTCTTGCATAACAGTCTCCCTTTGCAACACTGATGATGCTGAAGACTCGTGTTTCAGGCACCCTGCTCCCTTCTCTATAAGCTAGGTCCATCTAGAGCTTGGGAGAAGAGGCTTTGCAGCTTTGTAACTCAAGGAATCACTTCAAGGGACACCAGGGAATCACAGGTAGCAAAGAGCCATGACATGTGTTTCATATTGGAGTGCTGATTTCTGCTCTCAAAGACCTAAGGGATATGAAACACAGTACTACAGTGCCAAACATAACAATGCATTCTTATGTTCTGAAAAATTGGTTTTATGTGATATTGCTATACTTGGCACTGTACACAAGTAGCTCTGGGGAAGCCCTCAGAAGAAACACCTCAAAAAATAACAACAAAAAAAGAGAGAATCCTATTTCAGAAGTGCAAACAAGGGCTCAGTCTTAATCAGGTAAAGTCACTTCCTGAAGGCAAGCCAAGCCCCATTGATACAAATGGGTATACTTCAAAATCAGGACAGATATCTTCCAGTGACCCCATTGCAGCAAGGCTGTAAGACATAGACTCTGCAGGAGCTCTGGGTGGAGGAGCTACACATCACTAAAAACCACCGGAATTTTGTTTGGTGGTATTTGTACTACAGAAGACAGTGAATAAAGTGTGTCTCCAGGATTTTTTGTAATTATACCTCCTAGGTAACACCCTGGGATTATGCTAACCTCCTAGGATGTTTGGGATATTTTTCTGTGGGGTATTCTTGCTTGCTTAGGTGTCATTCTATACAATGAACCTCCATAATCAATGTGGCATTTGAAGGCCTTTACTGGAACACACAAGCCTTGTATTTCAGTATATAAAGAACTGAATATCTTCAGAAATATTTCAAATTGAGTCCTAAATAATCCTCACTGGACAGAAATAATGCTGCTCTGGTTCTAACATACCTGTCAAGGCTTTAAAATGTCAGCTATTTAATGATATTATTTACTAACAAACTGTCACTGTATGGTCACTCTGTGCTATATTAAGGTTTTACAAAAGCTTTTAAAAATAGTCTTTGTTCTATAAATTAGAACTCCAAACTTACCACATGATCATAGTTACTAACTTCATGACAATCTCATTCAGGATGTTGAAGAAATCCACCATCATCTTGGCCTGTTCTCCCATTTTCCCCATAGCAATGCCAAAAGCAATAAAGAATCCTATCAAACCTATCGGGAGAAATTGCAAGACAAAAACAAAAGGCAGGTGAACACATGGTTTTTAATAAGTTTTTGCACATAGTCAATGTCTTGATACTACCTGCTAATCCAGACATCACAGAAGCACAGAATGACAGAATGGGTAAGTTTGGAAGAGACCACAGTGGGTCATCTGGTCCAGCCTCCCTGCTCAAGCAGGGCTGTCCTCGAACATATTGCACAGGGCTTCAGAACTGTAGGATGCAGCCTCCCTGCTCAAGCAGGGCTGTCCTTGAACATATTGCACAGTGCTTCAGAACTGTAGGATGTTACATGTGTCTTGGGAGTTTTTAATATCCACTCACTCTCAACTTCCATGATCAAATTCAGAACACCTTTGACTCTTCAATATTTTACTACATTCCAATTTCACAGCCCAACTAGAGTTATGATGGGTATTTTTTCCTGAATTGATCTGATCATCAAAAAGTTACATAAACAATAACCTTCTCAGTGCCATGCAACTGTTAGAAACCTCAAAGGCCCTGGCAGAAGGGAGTGGTAACACAGTGCTATATCACAACTCTGTTGTTAAAACAATTGCTAGAAAACAACAGCATTTTTCTCAGGCTTTACAAAAGTCCCTTGACAGATCCAGTCTACAATCTAGTCAGCCCTGGGGTGCAGGGAAAGCAAAGGTAGCCCCAGAACATACATTTTTCAGGCCAGGAGTATTCCAGGTAAATGAAGAAGGTGGGGATGGGAGGAGAAGTTAGGTAAGCTTAACCACAGAACTCCCAAAAACCAGATTAATCTCACTGAAACAAGTTAGCAGTTGATACAAAATCATAGCATTCGATGTGAGCAACATTTGGCTCCTAAATCTGAATGCCAAGGATATGAATATCTGGAGTATTTGACTACCAGCATGAAAAAATATGAGTGCATCTGCCATGTACTAGTTTGGAGCTGTGTCTTCAATGTTAACCTTTTCCATCCAGCAATTTTCAGTGCCCAGAGTCAAATTGTTAACTGATATTGATAGATGCTTTAAATCTTCAGCCATACTTTGAGACTAAATTTGCACACATGATGTAAGTTCAGTATTTAACAAATGTGTAAACTCAACTGGGAAGTTCCTAAGGAAAAACCCATCAGGACACAAAAGCACTCAAGTGAAGGGAATTTGAGCTACCAGTACTCTGGGAAAAGACAGGCTGTCCCACATCCTCACTCTGGATTTAGCAAATAGATTCTCTTCCTTTTTTTAAAAAAAATCAAGTTTCTGAATATAAAGTCATCCTTTAGCACCAAGCTATCTTTGTTGAGTCACTTGAATAGGGAAGTTAGGCATATGTTTGTGTGCTGCAGAGCAAAGAGAAATGATGAAAAGCTTTTCAGTCAAAGACCAAGTTACTTCCTGGAATTCAGAATCTGCATCAGAAAATGTCAGTAGGTAGCTTTGTTCATTAATTCCAAATGAGCCGTTATAGTAGTTGTGAGTCAGATTGGTGCAGATGTGCAGGAATTTGCTTGGCTTGTATAGCTTATGCAAACTGGATGGCAATCTCCCAACATTTTCACTTCTTCATAAAAAATTGAACCCCACCAAGCCAAATCAAAATCCTGCAACATCTGAGGGTAAATCTCTTACCTAAACTGTTTGTTTCTTTATGTAGGTACTGTATTCAGCCTTCTAGACCTTTTCTTATCCATGACAGAGCCTGCACAAAACAAGTCCAGCACTAAATGCATCTCTTATGTCAGAATGATTGCTTCTTTTTAGTGCATAAGCAGAGCTCCAGGAGAGAAAAAGTCAGGTGAGGGTAACAGCATGGACAATGAGCTGCTGCCTCATGCATGGTGCAAAATGCCAACTTGCATCTTTAAAAGAAAGTGGGTCCTCTGCCCACACATGCTGAACGAAAGGAGGACCCATGAAGGTGGGCAGGATACAGTGGCTCTTGTGGAGCAGGCTGCTTCACAGAAAAACAAGATCATCTTATTGATGCTATCAGCTCCACTCTATCTAAGCAAAGCAGCCACTGCCAACCAGCTCACCAACCCCTAGAGAAGCTCTGCAGGCACAGCAGCCACTGTGTCAGCAGGAGATGTTCATCAACTGTAAGGAGCCTGTAGGAGTCATTTGCCTTTGAAGGGTTAGGGTCTAGTGAGGAGAGAAAGCAGTGGATTAGGTACTGCCAGATACTCTCCCACTTTGAGGATGACACCTATAAACACAGGCATCAGCCTCAGCCCTGTGGATTTGTGGCCACAGAGCATCTTCAGGCGTAGGTGTGCAGATAAGGCTACAAATTGAGAGCTAATTTGTGGCTGACTTCCCTCACTTCCAGAAAGTAAGAAGGTGAAGGAGGAACACTCCTCTTTGGGCTGACAAAACAGTGACTCTAGGCACGGAGGAGAAAATAGAAGTGGCTATTTGTTTCCTAAGTGCCCCCACCCTAGTCTGAACATTTGCCTCAGGAAGGGGTGGAAGATAGACAAAGTCTTCCTACCACCTCCTCTTGCTGGCCTGTCCAGACAAGAAGGCATGAGGGCATTTGCAGCTGGTAAAGGTCAGCAGCCAAGATCAAAGAGGAGAGAGCTGTGACTCAGTGATGTGTCAAACCTCCCTGGGATGTTTTTGGGTGGTGTGGTTCACACTCCACCTCTCACTTCAGGCTCTGCCTCCAGCCAAATTAGTTCAGCATGCCCAAGACAGCTACTGGAAACAACTTAGCTCAAATTCATCAGTGGGTGGGTGAAGCACTGGCTCTTGAAGCTCTCCCCATATTGTTTTGCCAATATGCATTAGTATTAGCTGGGTCAGCTTCTTCTAGGATGAAAGGATATTTTGAGTACCTCCTACATGCTTTGCCATTGTACTCCAACTCATAACTGCAAAGCTGCCAATCCAGGACAATTCACTTGACTGTTCCTGTGATATGCTGATCTCCAGTGAGAGACCAATGGGCAGCCAGTAGGTGATAACATTTGATGACTACTTGGAGAGACTAAACTTGCACTGATGAGCAGAGCAGAAAATATTGGCTACCTAGACACGGCCAAAAGCTGTGTCATAAGTATGATGTACAGGCAAAAACATTTCCTACCCAAGACATTCATGCCATCCTTAAATTCAAGTCCCTTCTTGATGACCATTTGGGCTTCAGGTGGTGCTTCACGCATTGACTCATTCACCATGGCGATAGCAGAATCGGTGACATTAGATGGCTCTTCAACGGGTATTGGCACCAGCACTTTCTTGGTGACAGTTTGGATCTGAAGGCAATAAAAAGGGAGGATAAGAATGGAAACTAAAAGCAATCCATATAGTAGAAAAGGAAACAACAATAACAGTCTTCATTTGAAATTCCAGGGGTCTGTATTTTTAAAGGACTAGATACACATTCCACAGCCTCTTACCCCATTTCCAAAAATAAGTTTATTTTTCAATAGTTTCAAGTGTTACAAGGTCATGGGGGTCTTCTTCATTACTCTAGCATGAAAAGTATGGCAAATACTTGTTCCTCACCACTACAAGGAAATGTTTTACAGACAGTTCCCTTGTCCAGATGGTTCACAAAGGTGCTTCACAGGTTGTGTGTGACACAAAAGGCTAAGATAGTCACAGAAACAACTCTGCAGTAAGGCTTGTTATTCTGGATGGTCTGCTCAGCTAAAGTTATCACAGTTTGATGGTTAACTTGAATCAAAAATTTAGGACATTTCCAACACTTCTCTTAGTGACTGCAAGAGCTCAAAATGGAATATACACAGTACCCTGAGCAATAGAATTACAATATTGTGAGTGACATGTAAGAGAAAAATTATCAGTGCTGCCAGATACAAATCTGACCACCTCAAAAGAGAAGACATCAGCATCTGAATGGATTTGGTCTCCTTCTGACACATTAAAGGCAGGGTCAAGGGGAAGCTTGGAAGAAATGGTAGGGGGAGAAGTGGCCTTGAGTTTACAGCTAGGAAAAAAGGGAGGAGGGAGTGGAAAAAGAGAGGTCTGTGACTTGCTGCTTTTAGAAGGGATGTTTTCCTCCCACCTCACACCTTGAGCCTTTCCTGCCTCTTCATGGCTCTGGATGCTGCTTTTAGAAGGGATGTTTTCCTCACACCTCACACCTTGAGCCTTTCCTACCTCTTCATGGCTCTGGGACAGGGAAAATGGTTTGGAAGTTATGACTGGCTTGCCATGTTTTCCTACCTACTCCATACTTTCCTTTTTCCTAGAAACATGTTTGAGCAAGGCAAGAGGAATGGTGCCTCAACCTTTCAAATTACATTTGTGTCCCTTTGCTGTTGAGATGGACACTGTAGTACTATGGATGATGATCCAGGTTCTATCTATATAGTTTAAAACCTTATGGTTTTAAACCCTTATAGCTTCAAAATACCTTACATCTCTCATTTCAAAACTTGCTGTCTAAATCTGAATAGGTGGATACAGGCAGAATACCTACATAGCTTTGCATAAGAAACTCTTTAGTTGTTCTGAAACAACCCGACATTCTTGTATGTTTATAATTTTTTTTCAGGGTTAAATTTTATCTGAGGGATGTTGTCAACACAATATTTTTTTAATGTGAGTTATCCAGAATGTAAGGACTGAGTCATGGAAATTAAACTTAAAATATTGGACTCTACACACTCACAAATTCCACTACAGCCACTTAAGTCAAAGGTCCTCAGCACTTTGCACAAGGCCATGGTCACTAAAAATGTCTAGTCTAACATAAAAACTGAGATTCTGACAACAATGTCTGAGGCTAGAAAACCTTTTAAATGTCACAGCCATATTTATAGATGATATTCTCATTTTTTTCCATGGTACATAAAATCTTGTCTCTGCTGGAGTAGCAATTTTCATTAGAAATGAAAACTTTCTTGTGGACCATACAAAAATTCAGGAGAGATTGAAATGCCACGGTGGTTCAGAGTCCAGTTTGCAAATGAACTGTTTCAAAACTGCAAGTGAATCTCTTGCTTTCTGCCTGGTTGCAATGGAAGGCATGTAAAACTCCCCCACAGGGTGTACAGTACCGTTGTTGTGCACCCTTGAAGACCATTCTTTGCAGGATTACTGCAAAACATTTCTTCCTTCTAAGGTAACCTGGAAACAATGAATGCTTATGGAAAGACACTGTATAAATGTGGGAAGAGAAAATCTATGCTGACACCATTAAAAGCAGTTAATTTTCCTCCTAAAGAGAGAGACAAGAAGAGCCTATCTCCTTACTGAGGTGTAAAGGGCTAATAGAAAGGTTCCATCTAGAAAGGAGTGTGACTTGCTTCCCAAATGAAATGTGGCTTTGTGGCAGTTTTTCATTAGCAATTAGTTTGGAATCTGATAAAGTCAAACACTGGAAAGCCAAAAAGCTCGGTAGTTTGATTTTTTTTTTAACTGAGTTTAAAAACAATCAGTGCAATTGGTGATCCATAACTAGTGAAGTGACCTGAACGTTAGCATTACACACACTGAAACAACAATATTATGGTTTTAGGAAAATTATCTGACACAGGTAGATTAATTGTTCTTTCTCCTGCTTTTTGCCCCTTTGTTGAGATATCTGACCACTTTCAAATGACCAGAAATCTAATTCTCCTCTCTTCCACAGTACAAAGAAGGGAAAGGAAGAAAAATCCATAAGCATTCTGCTTTCCCTCACTCAATTTTGCAAAAATACATTTCACATTCCATGTGATGTTTAGCCATCAACGGTTTGACCACATGACTGAAATTCCCATGATGATTTGGAAATATTGAGAATGTTCTCTCTCTAAATCCCCAAGGATTATGTGTTTTTATATGGAAGTCCTTGTAAGAGTGAAGCAATCCAAGCCCTTTTGGCAGCTTAGGTGACCCTCCATTTTTCCATTCCCCCACGGCCTCTTTTCCCTTCCCCCTCTTCACTTTATTCTTTGGCCATAACCACAGCACCAGCTATAATGCCATTTCACATAGGAACACTTAACAGGTTTGGCCACAAATCCTGTTCCATTAAAAAAAAAACCCACCACCAAAAAAGTGTCTGCATTACTTCCAAACAACTCAGTTGTAGGAAAAAGCAGCTTACATACAAGAAATATGCTTAAGCAGAAATCAGGAAACATACAGTTTTCATGTATTTTACCTCTTAAGTGAAGCTGTTTTGATTAAGCGTCAGTGAAAAGCTTTTAGGCAAAGTTATCTACTACAGAGCAAGCAACATATGGAGCAATCATCCTTCTTTCCCAGCATGCTTCAAACCTGGTGTGATGGAGCCACCTGTAGGTGGGTCAGCCACTTGGCTCTATTATCCCCACCTAGTCTGGACTCTAAGACAGCAACAGAGGTTATGAGAGGTTGAGGTTTGGGCTACATTTCAACTGGCAACCAGCTGGAATGAAGATCATCCATATATTCCAAACAGGGCTTTGCAGAACCTTCAGCTCTGTAACTAACAACCAAGGTCAAATTCGACCTGGATGAAAGATCAGCTCCGAGTCAGCATTCGTGATCACAGATATAATACAGAAAGCATGGAAATACCTTCTTTAAAAATTCTGTGAATTTAAATAAGAGCTACAACACAAACCAAGGCAGCTATAAATAGTGTTCTTTCATTTACCTGCTCAAGACTGCAGAGCTGTATTCCTCTTTGCATCATCATTTCTTTCATTTACCTAAACAATGACATGAAATCTACAGACAACCCTGGTAAGTAACAGATGTAAAGAATATTACCAAGGAGTAGAAGGATTTACCTGCTGAAAGCATGCTTGAACTAGATTTTCAGGGAACAAGTTTCGGATCAAATCCAAGAAAGCATCCAGGCTAGATACTTCATCGTTCTTCTTCCCTTGACCAAGCTGTTTCTTGAGTTTTGGATTCCCAGGATGGATGGCTAAAACCAAAATCACACCCAGCACAGCAGCAATAATAGTGGTGGACATGTAGTAGACCATGGCTCTTGTGCCCAATCGGCCACTTGCTTTAGCATCTAAACCAGACAGTCCTGCAGGTGATTGATTTTAAGAAACAAACAAATACATTGACACTCAATATCCAATTCAATAATTACAAAATCAAATCCTTTATCATTTTCAAGTTTTAATGTCTACTTTTGCCCTTGTGAAGTTCTCACCACTAGACAGACTGCTGATGCTTCTCCTTGCAGAGGAGGCATTGAAAAATAGAGACAATATCACACCCTCCTTTGCCCTTGACTGCTACAAACTGGAAATGTGGCTGACACCACACCTTCAAGAAGGTTAGGCTCACCAATGTCATGCCAACTTAATTGCAGGTCCAATCCAGGGATTAGATCAAACAGCATATTAAGAAATTTCTGGTGTAGCGTGTGGCATGTGTTTGAAAATAAATTCACTGGAGCACATACATGTTGAAACCAATGATGTTATTCAGAAATTAACTCTGAAATACACAGTGCAACTGCAAAATGCTGACACTCTTATTCTTCCTACATCACAGAAAGCAAACCAGGTGATATCTGTAGAAAGCATCTTAAAGTATTTATGGCTAATAGATCTTACCTGTGATTAAACTGGAGATAATTAAAGGGAGGATCAGCATTTTTAGCATCCGCATAAGTATATCTCCTGGGAAGGCTATTAGCATGATGATGTCAGGGTCAATAGGTGTTGCTAGACGAAGAAGACCCCCACACACTGCACCCAGGATGACACCTGGAAGAAGAATAAAAAAGAGCAGGTAGGGTAACATAAATATAGCTGAATGTGCATTGATTACCCAGAAGAACAGCCTAGAAGAAATGTGGTTATGCAAGGCAGCTGATTCTTGGCATAAAGACAGACTTCAGAAGGGAGGGATAGTCAAATGGAATTCATATCATCATTCTACGACAAAATTGAGGCACCAAGAGATGAAGTGATTTATATAAGGCCATACAGAATCATAGAATTTAAGGGCTGGAATGGACCTTACAGACCATCTAGTCCCAGCCCCCTGCCCTGGGCAGGGATACCTCCTCACTAGATCAGGTTGTTCAAGGCTTCATCCAGGCTGGCCTTGAACGATGTCCCTGGGCATCCTTTTCCAATGTCTCACCAACTGACAACAGTCAGAATTAGGACCCAGCTCTTTGCAGTACAACATCTAGCTCTCCACATAAGAATGGTACCACTTGAAGACCAGGTCAGTGTGAGTAGCTGTTTTACAGCCCCAGAAAAACCCTGCAAGAAAGCTAGAATGGTTCTGTAAGGAAAACAGATTCAAGTTTCATTTGGGGGTTTTGGGAAGGGAGTGTCTGATCTGGAATACTGCACATACCACTGAAGAAAACTTGATTCTTAGGACTCTTGTATTAGTCCTTTCTTTTGATAGTCTGCATCCTTCTCTTTGTGTTAGTGTTCTCAAATCACAAATAATCCTTTCATCACTTATGTAGATTTCTACAGTGATAACACCTAAACCTCCCTCTCAGGGTTGAGGCTGATATAGTATACTCTAGGGAAAATAAGGAAATGTTTACTTTCATAGCATGGTCTTTGTGAATGGATATTTTATGTTTACATCCAGGATGCCCAAACCCAAGTCTCATGTGTAATAAAACTTGATAGCAAAGACTGAGTTGTGATTTGCAGCAACTATGACTCTTTGAGTTATCCATTTGATACAATGAAAAATGTATGCGTATTTAAAACTTTTTCTGGAACAGCACCAGGCACCTTCTAACGATGATTCAAAGCAAATACTGTCTAAACACTCTAGCATTATGATTTTGCAGGCTGAAAATATGGGCATGAAATTTGCAGCTCAAGACCAGTTGCAGCTGGTCTTTCAAACAATAATGAAATAGAGTTTGTCTACAAATTTTATGCATTTGGCTGTTGGGCTCTCAGTGAAAAAGAAACAGGCAAAGAGCCAGTGAACCACAATAAAATGTCAAACTGTTCCATATTTGGAAGCTGCTACAGCCAGAGGCAATATTCAGGATGAGATCATGGAGCGCTGACTTACAGCTACAGAGGGGGAAGACAAACCTTAAAAGCAGTAGAGTGTAAACTGAGAGATAAAAGTTGAAGGAAATTTTGAAGAGTTTTTGTCTGGTTTGTTTGGGGTTTCATTTTTTTTTTTCAAATCACTGAGAGAAAAATGTGTAGTGTACATTTAGTTCTACTGAATGACATGAATCTGACTGGTCTTTGGGCTTCAACCACACTTCATTCAAACCCAGGTACTGAATGTGCCTCAGTGGTGTGGACTTGCTCCCTGTTGTGCCTATAATACCCTGCCCACCTGAACTAAAGCAACAGCTCCCCATGGGCATCCTATTTACTCTCTAGCTGTTCAGCTGGAATGGCTGAGGACCACAGACAGGGGCTGGGGGGCTACATGAACAGATACAGATCCACAGAGAGTATCCAGACCAGCAGATGTAGCTTACCAAACACAGTAAGAGTCAGGAGCAGATTCTTGTGGAGCGACCGGCAGAACTGCACACATATGTTCCCGGATCTGTGCTCCACTGGATTTAAATGGCTTTCATGCATCCGGACTTCTACTTGCTTAGGCATATTGTTGGCACTAGAATAAAAAGTGAAAATCAAGTAAAACTTACAGCACAAGATGCCAAAATGGAGAGGAAAGTCTGGTTTACTTCCATCATATATAACTGGGAAATCTGACACATATTCCATCACCTCCCACATTTCATAAACACTGCACATTTACTGCTCTGAAGAAGTCTCTGAAATGGTGTGTCCTTCTAAAGGTGTAGCCATAATGGTATTTTTTGCAGCTATTTCTCAAATAGTAGATATGTAAACAGAATTATGTCACTGGACACATCATCCCACATGATTCATGGACTAAACTACTGATTTTGAGCTGGAAAATTCAGGTTCCCCAAAGATCATGGCTGTGTCCTTAAGTAGGAGAGATGGCTGAGGAACAAAGTTTCTAGGAAAACGAAGGTTTTAATGAATTTAATTCCAACTTAGTTTAATAGTTTCAAAAGGAGGATTTAATTGCAAAATAAAACATTCAAGAACATTTTGCTTAATCTTTCGAAAACACTTCATTTCAACACTAACATTTGATCATAATATAATCAGAATGCTGAGCTCAAGAGAATATTTTTAACTTGGTTCTAATGAAACTTGAACAGCTGCCACCAAAAATTAGTCAGAAAACTACGCATTCCCCAAGAAAACCTTTGGTTTCATTGACTTGGCAGTGTTTTGAGGGAAAAGTTTTTTTACTAACTCTGGTTTATACTTGAGTAAGTGATATGCACATGAGTGCAGCACTTCAAAAGCCAAGCCTCTAACTTTCTCAATGCCTGAGAAATCACTAGCAATAGACTCCCTTTTTATGTACAAAACATTCAAATATATTTTAGAAAAGATTAAAAATACAAATAAAAATCGAACAAACAGTTCCCCTAAAAGTTAAGGCCCTCTACTTAAATATGGGCAACAGGGTAAAGCACAAATTTTTATTATAAAGAAAATATATTTTTTCAGATCTGGTCTTCTGCCAGATTAGGACAAAGCTTTAGAAAATCTTCTTCTACAACAGTAAACTGAGGCTTACAGACCTAAAACAGGTCTGAAAAGATATATAACATTTCAGTGTTCTCAGTACTAAACCATTTCCAAGGCAACAAAACTTTATTTGTGATATTTTATAGCTTGTTGTCTTTGTAAAGTTTCTCTAACAGAAAGTTATGATTAGACCTGTCATAAGAATTCAGTCATTTTGATGCAAATATTCCCACCATTTTCCCTTTCAAATAGAAATGGCATTTCTTTCCAACACATTTGCTTGGTAAAAAGGCAGCCTCATCTGAAAGTGCATTAGAGGATATAAATCTTTTCAGTTAAGGGAGGAAAACCCCATCCAAGGGTTGTAATTTTCATTTTGTGACTTTCAAAATGTTTCACAATGGTGGTCACAGCAAAATGTGCTGCTGCTGCTGGGGGAATAACAAAGAACACCAGCACACATTCCAGCAGCTTCAATGTGAGGCATGGCTACTTCTTGAACACTTATGAATGCAAGTCCCAGAAATACATAAGGATTAGCCAGGGGATAATATTTGTAACAGTTACTTGAGGAAGTATGAGAAAGGTGAGACAGTGTCTGCAGTTTTCATGTACTTGGACCACAAATCCATCACTGGTGAAATGTGCCATAACCCCAAGGAACTTGGGATGCAAACTTGGCAGCTGGGGATTACAACTATTTTCACTCGCACCCTGAACATGAATATATAACTTGTTCTGACCTATTACTCACTACAGGTTAATTTATATTCCTCTGAAACTTTGAAATATGGACAGCTGAACATAATTTAAAAGCCAACCTTAGAGTCTCTTCCATTAGCAAATAATTAGGCAGAACCAAAATGAATCAGTAAAGAGAAGTACATGATTTTATTTTGGGCTAATTTTGGTTTAATTTCCCGGACCCTTTTCCACCTGACCCCATGCATATAGCTTCATATCATCTAAAAGAAAGCCACCTCACAAATACCTGCTTCCTTAGCTGTGGGCCTTTTCTTCAAATCACAGTGAAACATACCATTCCCCTGACACCACTGCTGAAATAAGTTCTCCCATGCAGAAGAAGCTTCCAGTCCTTCTCTTGTATTCAAGACTTATTTCTATTCCTATCCATTTCTAAGGGACAACGTTGTGTTTGCTGGACCAGGTCCCCTTCTACTTCAAGCCTTGTCAGCATACAAAGAAAGGCTCATAAAAGAAAGTGATGGTGGACTTACTACCACAGTTACAGTGACTACTTCAGGATTATGTCCCTAAGTGAACTGAAGTCAGCCCTGCTTGAGGTGGTTGAACAACACAGAGATTTTGCATGACAGCAACCATCTTCTTCAAAAGTGCAGCCATGTAAAATGTAAATATCCAAATACCCTCTGAGAAGAGAAGGAAATGAGGACATCATAGAATCATAGAATTTAAGGTTTGGAATGGACCTTACAGACCAACTAGTCCCAACCCCCTGCCCTGGGCAGGGACACCTCCTCACCAGATCAGGTTGCTCAAGGCTCATCCAACCTGGTCTTGAACATTGCCAGGGTTGGGGCAGCCACAGCCTCCCTGGGCAACCTGGGACAGTGTCTCACCACCCTCACAGGGAAAAATGTTTTTCTCACATCCAACCTAGACTTTCCCTCCTTCAGTTTGAACCCATTACCCCTTGTCCTATCATTGCAGTTCCTAACACAGAGTCCCTCTCCAGCTCCTTGTAGGCCCTTCAGAGATTGAAAAGTTGCTCTGAGGTCTCCACACAGTCTTCTCTTCTCCAGGCTGAACAGCCCCAACTCCCTCAGCCTGTCCTCATAGGGGAGATGCTCCAGTCCTCTTAGCAACTTGGTGGCCTCCTCTGGACTTGCTCCAATAGTTCCATATCCTTCTTATGCTGAGGACACCAGAACTGTGTGCAGTATTCCAGGTGGAGTCTCATGAGAACAGAGTAGAGGACACATGAGACTCTCTAAAGACCTTCACAAATTTCCAGGAACTTAATACTGTACTGTGTGCTTCCCTCAAGTGCAAAATATGGGGTTTACATTATTCAGCTCTTTGAGATTGTATGTGAACCATCAGCATGGACTGAAATTCTGATGAGTACAGGGGTTTTTAAAGAAAAAGACCCAATATGAAAATATCCTGTGTTACAAAAGGTGATGACAGGTGAGTGTCATCACATGAAAAATTGTGTCTCAAAGGAGTTAACACTGCTCTCAGCAATGACAGATTTATCACCAAAACAGAGACAAAGTATTGTTCCAGGCTTTTGAGTATGTTGTGAGAGGGGTGGAAGAGCAAGAATAATGAAATATAAACCTTATGTGAAAGATAAGAGAAGCTTTTTGTGTAGCATGTGACAAAATCAGAATTTTGCACCAAGAATTTTCTATGCAACTGCTAGAAGATGAAAATCTGTTTGACTTCAGAGTCATGGAAATGAACTATTGTCTTATGGACTGAGGCATCTTCTTTGTGCTGTTTTTTGCCTCTATTTGCATCTTGTAAATGATACTTAGCTCCAGAAGAATGCAGAACTTTTTGCACCTGAAACCTGCAGCCACATAATGACATAACTACATGAAGTTCCTATCAAAGTTAATGGAAAATGCACAGGTATAAGGTAGGGCAGAATATGGTCCCTTATGAACCAAATGCACCTGGATCTGTGCTACTCCTCTGCCACTGACAGTGTATGCTCACATTCACAGCTATCTTCACACCCTGAAGGCCACAGTGCCACATCAAAGCATGCAGGGAAGGGACTTAAATACATATAAGGCTTTCTTCTGCTTCAGATTTTCAAGATGAAGGAAAAAAGTAATGCATGACAGAGTGGAGCTTGACTGCAGCCCAACTCATGGGCAGTGCTGGGACTCAAGTGCACCAACAACCAGAGCTCCTCCTACATAGCTGAATACCACTAATGTAATATCTATATTAACAGTACCTCTGTACATAGGTTAAGTATCACAAAACAGTGCAGAATGCATTTTAGCAGCTGTGATCTCTCAAACATGCAAATTATTACCTTGGTTAAATAAATCATCGTTCCACTGTGCTGAGCTTCTATAGCTGTTCAAACAAAGGAACCATTCTTAATGCTTATCTGAAACCCATCCGACCAAAACCTCTTTTAGTCTAACTCCACTGAAGCCAGAACATAATGACATAAATTAATTCTGCTCATTATATTCATATGTCATTGTGACAAGCAGCCAAAAAGCTAAGCTCCAAAATAGGTCCACAGAGAACTCTACGTACCGAGACCTTCAAAGACGATAGTATTTTCTGCCAACTACAGATGCTTGAAAACATTGACAGGACTTATAAAAAAAAGATGAACTAAATATTGGAAAATGTGTAGTCACATGAAAGAGCAGATGACATGAAACAGCACGTACCAAGAGCTAGACACGTGTGTCACGGATAGTAGCTTTTGAATAATTTAGTATGATGGTCTGCCTAGCCCAGTATCACCTACCCTTCTCCCTTTTGAGGAGGAAAGAGAGGAACTCCTTTGAGCCCAGGAGATTTGATTTTGGTTCACCTCAGTAGAGTACAGAAGTGCCCCCAAGTGAACACACTCTATTTTCACTGGTTTCAAACAGACTCTACTCTGATGCAGTGATATATAACTGCATTAATAGAGACTAGTGTCAGAACTAGACTTCAGTTTAATCCCTTTGAAGCAAAGAAACAATCTCTTACCTGAATAAACAAGAAGTTAGCTACTTGCTCTTTCCACTGTCCCTCATCCCCACAGTATACACAAGGTATAAGTAAAAAAATCTGCCCATAAGCATTTGATTTTAGGTTATCTAAATATTTACAGTTAGTTTTGCATGTGAAATATACATATGAGACAATCTATTTATCTGCAATTTTTAAACCAGAGTCTGTTTCTCTTGCTGGTTGTTACACATAATATGTAAAAATGCAGGAAAGCAACTTATTAAAACATCAAGATCTCTGGTATCTTTGTTCCTATTTCCTCCAAGCATTTTTCTTAGGTTTTATCTTAG